GTTCGCTGATGATACTACCATTTATTCTTGTCACCATAAGAAGCCAACTCCCTCTGATTGCTTGCAGGGGGCATCTGAGCTTGAAAAAGATCTCACTTCTGCTACAGCATGGGGCTCACAGTGGCTGGTGAAATTTTAATTCAGATAAAACTTAATTTTTTTCGGCCAATCGTTATTGCAATAGTTTAGACCTTCCTATATTTATGAGCGGTAATGTACTCGATGAGTCATCTACCCTTCATCTTCTAGGATTAACACTTACTTCTGATCTTTCTTGGAAACCTTATATCAAATCCGTTGCAAAATCAGCATCTGCTAAAGTTGCATCTCTTTATCGAGCTCGTCACTTTTTTACTCTGGATTCTATTCTCTATCTCTATAAATCTCAAATCCGTCCTTGTATGGAATACTGTTGCCAAATCTGGGCCGGATCTTCTAGTGATGCCCTTTCTCTTTTAGACAAGGTGCAAAAATGCATTGTAAACATAGTTGGACCTGCTTTTGCAGCCAACATTCAATCTCTGTCTCATTGTCGTAATGTTGTTTCTCTTTCTCTTTTCTACAAATACTATAATGGGCACTGCTCTAAAGAGCTATTGTCTCTTGTGCCATCTACTAAAATTCATTCTCGTGTTACTCGTCATTCAATTAAGTCTCATTCTTTTTCTGTTACTGTTCCTAAGTGCTCTAAAAACTCTTATTCGTCTAGTTTTTTTCCTCGAACATCAGTTCTTTGGAATTTGCTTCCTTCATCTTGCTTTCCTGATTCATATAATTTGCAATCTTTTAAGTCGTCTGTCAATCGTTATCTTGCTATACAATCTTCATCTTTTCTCTTCCAGTAACTTCCAACACTAATTAGTGGTTGCTTGCAGCCTTGTTGGAAGCGAAGATAATTTAAAAAAAAAAATACATTGTTGCAGAACATATTGTAAGTAAATTTGAAAATACCTCCAAGGTACACCACTCTCTCCTATGTCAGGGGCTATTCTAATACGGTGTAGAATAGCCTCTATATATATATATATATATATATATATATATATATATATATATATATATATATATATATATATATATATATATATATATATATATATATATATTTTTTTTTTTTTTTTTTTTTTACAGCAAAGATTGTTTGTTTGTTTTTTTGCAAAAAAATGTTTACATATGGAAATGTTTCTACCAAATTCGAAACATTAGGACCGGCACGGGGTACCACTGCCCAAATTATTTTCCTTGAATAGCCCTTGTATATTGAGCCACTGCCTAGAAGGTGTTTTTTTTGAAAATTGGAAAGAGTCACCCTGGAATTTTTTCATTGCAATATAAATAACAAGAAAAATATAAATTTAACTTTGTTTAATTTATATTCACTTTAAAAAATCAGTTCAAATATATATCTTAATTGAATTGAGGGCTGGATTAAGGCATTCTTAGGCCTGGGGCTGTTATTATAGGAGGCCTAATGTGGCGATGAAGTAAAAATGGCTAGCTTTAGCGAGGCTATACCTGGGGATCTAGGGGCCAGAAAATTCCTTCCAGGGGAGTTTATGGGGCAAGCCCCCCAAGTAAGGGGTTTTAAATTTATTAGGGGGGGGGGTAAAACTTTTATATAGATCTTTTTGTATAGGTCCACCTTAAATAGATTACTGAATCTCTATTTATTTATTTATTCACAACGTCTCCGAAGGGCCTTGGGGAGTTTTTTGTAAGGGCCAGGGGCTGCAGACCCATCCGCCCCCACCTTAATATGGCCCTGATTTAATTTTTAGCCATTTGTTACATTTTTTCTTTCGTAGCTTTGTTATTTTTAAGGAATATTAATTTATCAACACTAATGAACTTAGTCAGAATGTTTTTTATGGCATTTGTCATAGCAAGCTGTTTTTAATTAAATCGCACAGAAAATTGCAAAATTAGATATTCATTTTATAAAATAATCACATTTTTTTACATTTCTCTTATTCTCTTTTCAACTTTGGCTCTTTGACAAAATGAATTTGTGTCTTTTTTCTAGACCATAAACCTGCTTAGCAGCTTCAGAGGTTAGTTTTACTGCTCTTTTAATGGATTGTGAATTGTTAGGAAAATCAATTAAGCAAAGTTTTTGTCCAGATTCAAATGCCTCTCTAATTTTTTCTGAAGTAGTGCTAAGTGTTGCTGGTGGCTCAATTTGAATTTCATCAACTGAATCAAGAAAGTCCCAAGAACCAGCATCAAAGTTTATTTTCATTACCGATTTTGGTTTAAGCTGAGTTTTGAAAGTAATGTCTTTTTTTAATTTTCTTATTATAAGAATTTGGTTAAGAGCTCGATTTCTTATATGTATATTTTCATCCTGCAGTAAAGAAAATTTTCCTGCAAACAACAGTATGAATTTCCCTGTAGATTGGTAAAAACGATACTTTGAATCCTGCTTTCTTGAAGCTTGACCAACTGAATATTTTTATATAGAGTAGACAAAGCATCTTTGTATTGTCCAGAGTGCTTGATGGCAAACCACATTACACAGTAAACTTGCACAATATACTTAGTTACTGCTAATAGCTCAAGAGATGGCTCCTTAGTCCTAACATATAACATCATAATTCTGAGTGCTAAAGTCAGCCATCTGGCATGGCAAACTGGTCCTGGTTTTTTTGAAACAAACCTTTCAGAAATAAAACTTTTAACAAACTATAGATTTAAATTAAATTAACTTTTATAATTTCAACTTATTTACCTTTTTGTTAACTTCACAGAGACAAGCAAAATGTGTTGTCGTGCAATCTGGTTGGTTCATACACTTCACAGATCTATCAAAATGTTCAAAACATAATTTATTTATCTACAAAATAAACTTAAATGAAAAATAGAACTGCAAACCATGAAACTATTTAATAATATTGATTTTTGTTTTATAATAATAAATATTTTAAAATATATTAAAATAAAAATAGGCCTTTCTTACTTATCATTGCAAGCTATTACTGAAAGTCCACAATTACATGATGACAAATCAAATAAACGCTCAAAATTACAATCAAGATACTCCTTGTTTTTATTTGAATTTTTGAATTTGCCTTCTGCAGACAAAACTTTGATGAAAAGTCTAAAACATTTTTTGGTTACTGACTTCTCGTGTATCAGAGGCAGCTTAGGATTTACTCTAATCCACAGATCAATAAGTTGTCACTAGCAACTTTTAAAACAATCTTTGGAGAATAAATATTTCTGACACTGTTTATATTTTTTAAAATAAAGTAGGAATATTGAACCACTTGCCTATAAGTTGGAAGATCAATAACTGGAAGATCAGATGGCAAACCAGCATATCTCTTGTTTTCATTAGGAGTTCTCAAACTTTTTATTGTATTAGGCATTTTCTTTATATATATATATATATATATATATATATATATATATATATATATATATATATATATATATATATATATATATATATATATATATATATATATATATATATATATATTTATTTATTATATACCTTTATAAAGTTATATAATTTATGTACATTTCAAATTAATTCAACGGGAAAAGTTTTTATTTTAAATAAATAATAACTTTTTCATCAATCAAAAGTGTAAACAAAAATAAACTGCAAATACATTTATTCTTTAAAGCTAACAAGTTATTGAAAAAGTGCTAAATACATAAGTTATGTATAATAATAGTTTGTTCATATAAAACATTATTTCTAGTGTAAAACAAAAGGTATAAAAAAACAACAACCCAGTTAAAACAAAAATTACCGAAAAATATGACTTTGTTATTCTAATTATAACTTTTTACTAAGTTTCGATATTATAAATTATAACGCCCCTCGTCCTTAAATTATGTGATCACAAATTTACTTAAATTGATATCCCTAAATGATTATGAACTTTTGCACGTTTATTTTTTTTTCAAGTCTATATATTTATAGTATAAGAACAAATCCCAAGGTGACTCTTATTAAATCTTGCTGCTGGCAGTGGCTTATTGTCACGGCTGTTTCAAACCGAGCTTAACGGCTTCTTGTTATTTTTTGAAAAAAATTGACTTAAGGGGTGTTACTAAAACTTCTATAACTTTTAAAATATTAAAGATAATTTTGTTTTGTAAAAAGAATAAAAACACCAATAAAATGTTTCATCTTACAACATTTAATGCATTAGTAAAAAAACTTCTTTAAGTTTAAAAAAAATGCTACAAATGATGAAGTTGGCTGAAATCAAGTAATTTGATGTTACTTTTTATAATAAAAAAATCAGAAAAATTTATTTCTGATAGTTATTCTTAAATATACTCATTGTTTGACTATTATAAAAACAAAAAAACCTTAATTTTAATTATAGCTAAAACAGACTGAAATTTTTATTGAGGTCTGAAAGCAAACCGCACTTTTCGCAAAGTTATGAAAAATATAGTTAAAAGGGGGATTAGCTGTTAAAAGAGTACATTTTTAAACCTAGGAGTTCTTGTTTTAGAAACTTATTTTCCTAAGCCAATAAATTCATTACATTGCAAAATAAAGACAGATTTCGATTTTGGAATATTTAGTCAAAACATTTAAAGCTTAAGCATTTATTTTTTTCTGTGCATACAGTTCTAATAATATGGTGTTAAGTTGTTTATAAATAAAGACTCACCAAGTCTAATAAAATAATTCATGACCAAATTTGAGTTTAAGTTTTTGAATTAACCTCGCTTTTGGTAGTAGAATTATTTTATAGCACTTGAATCTATAGTCTCTTCTCTCAGTAAATAAAGTGTTTGAATATACAAATAGCTAATTGAAATCTTTTGAAAATTTGTTTTTATTCCCATTAAAAACTGTTTTATAATCATTTGGTTTACTGATAGGTTCTTTAAGTAGTAAACTATTTTTGTACATCCAATTGATATCAGATTCATACTCATGCTAAACCAGAAAAACAATTGCTCCACTCAAAATTTTGATAACGTTTACAAATTCTTAATTTATTGAACTAAATTTTTACACCAACTTGATGAGATTTATATTCCATTCTTTAACCAGCGAGGAGGTATGTAGAGCAGAGGTACTGCAAAGGTAGAACTAACTTCTGGTGATAAACATCGAATAGATATGTAATATATCTATAAAAAAATGTTACATATAATGAAGGACAATACATTTTTTAAATTAAATACACAAACATACAAGATCATACCCAACCAACATACCAGTTGCTTTGATCACGAGATAATATATAAAAGCTAGATTTTTACATACATTTGATGCAAGACTAGTATTCCATTCTTTAACCTGAGCGAAGGTATTGCATAGGTATAAATAACTTCTGAAGATAGGAACAGAATATACCTAATATATAAAATCAATATATTAAAAAATAATATTTTAAACTAACATTACACAGATATTAGAACAGAATAAAACTATATTATATATAAATTAAAGATCTCATATAATTTATCTTACTTGTAAATAGTTTTTTTTGTTGTTGTTGTTTTTAATTTTTTAAATATTTTAACTAAATTTGATGACCACAAACAAGACAAAGACCTTGTCTATAAAATGAGTTTTTGCCACGCTCAGAACACACAACACACTTTCTCACCTTAGAGGCTTGAAGCTTCCTAACAGCTTTGCTGTGCAATTCAAAGTGTTTTAAAACAAGATGCAGCTTCTGCTCCTGATTTCTTACTGAATGCAACTGTCTTAATTCCTTATTTACGCTATTATGCAAACACTCTCCCTCCTCTTCACTTAGCAACCCAATAGTTTTATGGAATTTTACAAATTGTGGCACATTAAAAATAAGTTCATGCATTTTTCGTGTGATATTTTCATTTGGAAAGCAAGCATGAAACTCAATAGCAAATTAATTTATATATTGATGAAGCTCAGTAATTTCAGCATCGGAAAGCAATTTTTGCCAAAAAAGAATAGGTTGCAACTTATTAAAAACACTAAACACACGTACAAATCTATTTTTAATTGCTTCATCATCAATAACACTACAAAGTTTATAGTGGTTTCTTAATACTATTTTGCAATGATTACCTACAAATACATTACCATGGTAAGCTTGTCGCTCAACCTTCATATCTTCAAGGGCCTTATAAAGAGACCTCTCATGAGGCCCTATGCTTTTTTTATATTCTTTTTCTAGGTCATCACACTCCATCTGCAATCGAATATACTCAATGTCTAAAAGTTCCCGTTGTGCGCGTATAAAAGAAATTTTTTCAGAAATATAAAGGTCAAGACATTCTATATCTTCACCCTGACATGCTAAACACTCATAGTTCTCAATGTCACACAATACACTCTTTTCCGAATCACCAATTGATTTCCTAATAAATGTAAAGCTTCTGCTGTTTTAGAACATTCAACGCTTTTAGCAGCCAACAATTCATTCGTTCTCACATTCTCATTATGCGACAAAGACGAATCAGCTTGACAATCTAAAGTCTTACACTCCTTCAACAATAACTTATACAGTTTTAACACAACTCCTAACATAATATGCAAAACAGGTGGTACTACATTATCTAAAGTTATTATGGGGAAAATCACAGGAGAAATAATTGAATTATGAAACTTACCTAAAGTTCTTAGGTTTCCACCTTGTCTATTTTCACACAAGTTCTCATTGTAAGCACTTTCCAGAGATTGTATTGTCCTCCTTAAGATGTTACAATTAGCAGGTGTGTGAGGCATAGAAGCATGGTTTCTCAGAGAATTCAACTTAACTAGGTCTGTAGAAGTAGGAAAGCTAGCAGCTGAAGCCTGATGTCCCAGAACATCATCGATAAAATGAAAATCTCCACCTAAGAACAACCTGACTATTTTGCCTTTTAGCTTAAAATCCAAAAATAGCACTCTTAAGACTTGATTATCTCAAGAAATGCCTCATTTATCCAATTTTGTTCAAAATTATTGACTTGTAAGTTATTGATTTTTGGAGGTAAAATAAAGACTGTGGCCCAAAATCCCGAGTAAAAATTTTAATTGTATATCATTATTTCATCTTTGGTCTACTGAAAAAAATTAGATTCATCAATTGTCTCTCTAATACATGATCAAAATTTGCATTTAAAAATGGTGTCTTTTTAGAAAAATTTAAATTTTGTAACAAAAGCAATTAAAGTATTTTTTTAAACATTTATTTGAATAAAACACCAAATAGTGTTATTTATTGACTAGTTTAAATTTAAATAAACATTTAAAGTCATGGGCCAAGGGAGATGCCCTCCCTACCCACGGGAGGCCCCTCCACCCCCTCCCCAAATCTCCCTAGATTTTTTTTTTTTTTTACATAAAATGAATAAATAATAGTTGATTGTTAAAATACATTTTAAAAACATGTTTTTTCAGTTTAAGTTTGAGAAACGATTTATTTGCGTTACTTCAAATCAATAATTACTTACCTCTTATTTCAAAGATCTTTTTACGATTTTAAGTCATAAATTTCAAAAACAAATGTTTTAAAATGTTTTAAAACATATTGACAATAAATATCTTTATGTAGTTTTAGACTAATATAGTCATTGACATAATAAGATGGGAGTGATTTGTGATTTATTTAAACCCCCACCCCTCCTTCTCAGCCTACAATCCAAGGATTTGAAAAAAATAAAAGACATTTAAAATACAAATTAGGTAAATAAAATAAAAACAAAATTATTTTAAGCATAATTAATTTTTTTTTGTAACCAACAGTTTATATTCTCCAAATCTAAATCAGTTATGTTGTATGTACGACCTGATATTGTTGCGGGTGTAGAAATTAGGCATATAACTTCAGAATTGAGCACCCAACACTCATTAGTTCTTATTGGCTAAAAGAAGTTTTAACCTGGTCCATGTGGATGCATGAATCTGACTTTTATATCAAGCTCACTTACATCTTCAACAATCCCTACCCACCAAAATCCATCATAAAAACATGCAATATAATCCATTTTTTTATTATTTAATGAAATATCTACATAATGTTTGCTTTTTGGAATGATATCAAATATTTCAGTGCATGCATCAATACTTATTTTTTCATAACTTATAGTGTTTGGAGCAATTGTAATAAAATGATGATACATCCTTGTGCCAGGAACTGTTCTTCCACCTAAATATCTTTTTTCTAATTGTGCTCGTGTTTGATCAATTTCTTCTTTTGAAAATAACTTAAAATAAATTTCATTTATCTCGGCTTTACAAAAGGAGTACATTAAATTAACATCTAAAATCTGCCCAGTAGTTATTTGTTTTAGACTTTCTCGACATACTACTCTTTTAACAGTCCCACCAATACCATCACAGGGGGATTTACCATGACTGGTAGCAAAAAATACCCATTCAGCATTTAAATCAAAGTCTTTACTGTGATGACGAAGGTTGATAAAATTTTAAAAAATTTTAAATTGTGCTGCACAACCATCAGAAAAGTATTTCACACTTGATACATCAGATAGATTTTCTTTGATATATCTAGTTATATCTTCCTGAGTCTTGTAAATAAATCCTGTGTCGTGATCAACATCTTCTGAAAGGTAACAAAAAGATTTATGTTTGAGAAGCTTGTTCTCTATAAAATAAAGTACAACTGTATAAAGTGAGCATTGACTTTTGCTCCAGTGATAACTTTGAACCTCATCCTGAACAACATATTGATAGTTTTCAGCAAAATCTCCTAAAATTAAGCATTCGTTTTGGTTAAGATTTTCTTTACAGTTTTTTAAGTATCTACTTTGTGTTTTTGCAATATATGAATGAGTGGTAAGTACTGTCAATAAGTCAATACTGTCACATAATAATACTAAGTCAATACTGTCACATAATAAATCAATAAATTCATCTAGTGGCAATGACTGTGAAAGTAGTGTTGTACGATGTTTACTCTGTCATTGCTTAACTACTACATCTTCTTCATGCTCATGGTCTATAAACTCCTGCACTAAAAAACTTTTTAACGCTTCAATACCAGGACATTGGTTACATCGATGCAACATACATTCTGCATTTTCAAGAGAGCAAACAATGCCATGAAATCTTTGTAACTTTTATTCCACCTAATGGCATCAATGAGAAATTTTGTATTTTGGTGATGTATGCAAACACATACATTGTGGGTACCTGACGCATTAGTTGTAATACACCATTTAGGTTTAAGAGTACAAAACTTTGACAAACTGACTTTGACGTTAGGGTAGTCTTTTTTAAATGCAACATGTAATTCATTAAGATTGAGTAGCAATAATCTTTTTTGAACATGTTGGTTTTTCTTAATACTTACATAATCTTTTTTTCCTGGTATCATTCTTGAAAATTCATCACTTTGATAAAAGTTAATCACTAAATTAACTGGTGAAAGTGGGTTTCCAGTTTTTTTCCCAGGTAATGATAGAATTCCATTCTCATTTTTAACTTTTCTTGCTGTTCGAACAAGATACTCAGACACTTCAAAGTAGCTTGATATCTTTTTACGTTTCCATGATTTTGGTGCGAGTGTTAACATTTGCACCTTATGGCGATAAGAGTCAGTCTCTGAAATTTTATTTTTTATTTCATACATTAAAATGTCTAGATCATGGTCATTGTTAATGTTGTTGTTTAAAATAGGGCTTTTTATTTCTGTTAAAAAAGTTTCTTTAAAAAAATATTATATGCTAATGAGACCATTTTTGCAACTCTGTCAATAGTGTTCTCAAACTTTTGTTTTGCTACAGGCAATTTGCTGTGTTTTGAAAGACTTTTTAGTTTGACCGGTGAGATTCCAAGCAATTCTATAGTGGTATCTAACTTAATTTTTTTCTCACTTTTTGATTCCCATTCCTCCTGTGAATTTAAATCTTCATCAGTTTCTATTGCTTTTTTGTAACATTTACTGCAGAATTTCCAACCTGGGATTACATAAACATTTTTTTGCAAATAGTTTGCCATGTCTATGGAAATCTTTATATTATCTAAAAAACAAATTTAGTTTTACGTTGTTAAAATAACTGAAATTATAAAACTTTTTATAAATAATAAATTGTTTTCTTTTAATTTCCATATCAATTCTGTTGTAAATAAGGTAAGATTACCTTTTATAGCAATTTTTTTACTTTCCTTGTGTGTTCCAAAGGGATTGCAACACTTTGTAATTTTTCTCTCAAAATATTTTCCATAGAATTGCTCATGATAACAACATATAATTCTTATTGAACTATATTTTTTCTTTAAATTTGCTCGCCATATTATTTCTTCTTGTTTTTCACAAGTAAGATCTTTAAATTGAACAAAACCTTGTTTTCTTGAAAATCCAGTTTTGTGGCAATAAATGTTAAGACTTTTTCCAATGTCACATTTCTCCATATT